CGCGGCTGAGTGGACAACGCTTTGGGGTCGTTGTCCTTATGTCCTCCGCCGGGTTCAATTCCCGGCGGAGGGGGAACAACAAACAAATGGGGGGAGGAGACTTCTTTTCACCTTGATGCAACTGTTCACTAGCAGTAAATAGGTACCTTGGAGTTAGATAGCTGCTACGTCTGCTTCCTGGGGATGTGTGTGCGTGTGTTAGAGAAATATACGTAGAAGATATAATAGAGGAAAAATAGATTGGTTAGAAAGGCGGAGTCCAAGAGATAATAGCTCGATTCTGCAGACATATAGTAAATACATACGGCAGAGGTATGCCACCAAACTAGCCCCAGAACTGAGAGGTATGAGCTAAGAGGAAAGGCTACGGGAGCTAAACCTCACGTCCCTGGAAGACATAAGAGTAAGGGGGGAGACATGATCACCACCTACGAAATTCTCAAGGGAATTGACAGGGTGGACATAAACAAACTATTTTACATGGGTGGAACACGAACAAGGGGACACAGGTGGAAACTTAGTACCCAAATGAGCCACAGAGACATTAGAAATAATTTTTTTAGTGTCATAGTAGTTAACAAATGGAATTCATTAGGCAGTGATGTAGTGAAGGCAGACGGCATACACAGTTTCAAATGTAGATTTAAAAAGAGCCCAATAGGCTCCAGAATCTGTCCACCAATTGATTGACAGTTGAGAAGCGGGATCAAAGAGCCAAAGCTCAACCCCCGCAAGCACAACTAGGTGAGTACTCACACACACGAAATGTAGAGCCACTTTGGTGTGCATGTTGGACTGTGTGGAAAAATAAACCTCGTGGGAAGCGCCGGATGGAGACACTTAATACTTGGCCTCAAATCCGCCAATGGGGAAGCGAGCTTAATTCCGGGTCCTTTATGAATCCACTGCCCCTCCTTACGCCCGCCTGAAAACCTGAAGGAGGTGAATAAGTGGGAACGATGCTGGTTAGCCTCCAGGACTCTCTCCCAATTGGACTTACTTTAGATCACACCCTCGACGTCCACCTCTTTTTTGTGCTCGATCTTCATATATCTTCATATATCGCTTTCCTTGTGTTCTTGTTGAACGCGGCAGAATAATAATTAGACGCTGGTTATGTTATAATTAATTTACGTAATTATAATAAATTTACTTAATTTTATGTTATAATCAATTTACTTAATTTTGTTATAATCAGTTTACTTAATTATGACTATTGGCAGATATGAACTGACGGGGGAGTATTTATTACTCGTCCAGTGGCAAAACAAAATACAAAATTACAGGTAAATATGAATATTGTGATGGCACAGTGTCCTTTAAGTTATAGAATTGATTGATTAGAAACTCTACGATTTTAAACGAAGAAAAGTCTTATCGTTAATCTATAAATCAGCTCACAGGAGGTTGCAATCTTTATCAGACCTGGAACACAAGGCAGAGACGATGGCCCGACTGAGCTGACGCAATGCTGGGTAGAGATTGGAGCAGTAGCCATCACGTGATCACATCATCAGTCTACATGTCCCCCCCTTCCCCCCCGCTACTTATCCTATCGTCCGCAAGTCGAAATTTCCTGTGTATTCATATTGGCTTAGCACTTTGATAATTATCAAATTATCATTATAATCAGAGTCAAAACTTCATTCCAGAGACAAATTCTTATTGAAAGACTGTCTAACACTACGATGTAAGCTTGTTATTACTTACATAAAAGTTAATAGAATTTAAACTGTTATTGTTTAATAACTTACTTGTTCAATGTAATTAACACTTGTTAATTCGCATATCAGGTGTACTGAGACGTATTTTTTTTTTTTAATGAATAGGCTCCCAGGAACAGTAAATTTGGCCACAGAGTGCTGTTGATTGTGGTTTGAGGCTAAAAGTTTGAGGGATTTCGAGGTTAAATTTATATACTGCATTAAAACTGTTCAGATATTTTGTTGAAAGTAAGTTACCTCATCAGCCAATACAGTATTTTATAACATTCAAATCTTTGCGAGAATTTAGCTGATAAATGAAAGATTTAGAATGTTTATTGTATAACTATGACTCTCAATTCAATACCTGGGATAAGTTTGATATCGATACACTCAGCGCTTTTTTATTATCTTGGGATACTCAAATGTTTATGACTGGGCAAATTTTTTTAAATTTTGCAACTATTTCAAGTGGTTTAACTTTACCAACTGTTGTATAAGAAGTAGGCAATATTGTCATATTAATTCTAGAGTAGGCTTAACTTGCTGTCTTTGGTGCAACGAAATCCTTCAAATTAAGTTACATTTTTCTTACCCTTCAAGCTTTCTCTGGAACAAGACCCGGCATTCGGTTTTAATCCCAGTTCTCCAATTGTTGCTGGCGAGTACTTACGGACCCAACCTAACCTAGCTTATCTTAACCTATCTTATCTTAACCTAACATAAACTAACCTAGCCTATCTTATCTTAACCTAACCTAAACTAACATAACTAAGTCAATATTTTTTTTAATATAATATAATATAATAATAATTAAAATAAACCAATTGGAAACAATTTTTTGAAAATAGAGAAAATCACTCGGCTTATTAGGCAAATCGGGCATTGCATAGTAGGCCGAGAAGTGCGTTTTGGCTACTAGGTGCGACATATGTTTATATATATATATATATATATATATATATATATATATATATATATATATATATATATATATATATATTATAATATATATATATAATTATATATATATATTATTATTATATAATGATTTTTTTAATGACATATATGTGTGATACCATCTCTGGTTGCTTGTAGGGATCCCTTGATCTCGAAGAAGATAATATGTTACGCCATTACGACTATATAGCACTTGGAAGAGATCAGGATTTGGGATGGGACGGGGAGGTGGGGAATTGAACGCCGGCCTGCATGAAGCGAGACCTTGGATCTACCGTCCAGCCTTGTGGGACTCCTACGTACCCTCACATATTGTTTTCTCGTACCACCCCAATATATTTGTAGTATCTCTTCCCACTTTCTCCCGCCCCCACTCGTTCTCACTCACCCGTTTCTCTCCTTTTTTTTCAAGGTTCTCTCATTAACCGGTCAGACAAGTGGATCACTGGTATTCCCCTCGCGCTAGGACTTCACCTGTTACCCTTGCATATTTCATGTAACTCCAAGAGACTCTGGCCATGTACCTGAAAGGCTCGTACTGAAGAAAAAACGCGAAGAGAACGTGAGATTCCTCATAATAAGAAGTTCAAGATAATTGAATTAGCTCTACATAATTTTTAGTACATAAAATATTTTGTATTAATTTTACATAAATTTAAGGGTACCGGTAGTACAGTCGGGTTCGTTTTCGACTAACAATCCAGAATTTTGGAATCGAATTCCGGGCTGGACAGAAATGGTATAGTGGGAGAGGGGGTGGTAGGAGAAAAGCACACAGAAACTGTATTGGAGGGGATCTAAACATTCCCTCTAATGCGTTATATATTCATATATATACAAGCCCGTTCAGGCTTGTTCGCATATATATATATATATATATATATATATATATATATATATATATATATATATATATATATATATATATATATATATATATATATATATATATGTCGTACCTAGTAGCCAGAACGCACTTCTATGCCTACTATGCAAGGCCCGATTTGCCTAATAAGCCAAGTTTTCATGAATTAATTGTTTTTCGACTACCTAACCTACCTAACCTAACCTAACCTAACTTTTTCGGCTACCTAACCTAACCTAATCTATAAAGATAGGTTAGGTTAGGTTAGGTAGGGTTGGTTAGGTTCGGTCATATATCTACGTTAATTTTAACTCCAATAAAAAGAAATTGACCTCATACATAATGAAATGGGTAGCTTTATCATTTCATAAGAAAAAAATTAGAGAAAATATATTAATTCAGGAAAACTTGGCTTATTAGGCAAATCGGGCCTTGCATAGTAGGCTGAGAAGTGCGTTCTGGCTACTAGTTACGACATATATATATATATATATATATATATATATATATATATATATATATATATATATATATATATATATATATATATATATATATATATATATATAAAAGGGGGTACCACTTATGGCAGGAAAAAGGGTAGTATATATAATTTGTATATATATTAATTTTACTTTGTATTCAATGTACATTGTATTTTTTTGTCTTTTTAGAGTTTTTAAAACAGTATATTAATTTATTCTATTCTCAGCAATGTTGTGTTTTTCATGAAAAATATTCTACCCCCGTCACCCTACCTTATGTTTTGTTTGCTTCTCCTCATAACTTATTTATTTTGTGTACCTCCTTGGTTCATTGTTATTCTCTCCGTTTCGTCCGGTTATAAGGGAAAATGCAGTTCATTGAACGATGTTCTGTGATAGGCTATTATTTTGTTATTTTATTTATTCAAGAGTTCTTACATTCTTGTAAAGCCAACAGCACGCATAGTGTTTCGAGCAGGACTTTAATCCTAATTTTCCCCGGAATACGACCTGCCAAATCGTTTAACAAACAGGTACTCAGCAACTGCTGGGGGAATAGAGGCGTACAGTTAAGGATTGGCACCCAGTCAATCCTTCCCGGCCAGGATACAAACCCAGGCCAAATCGCCTGCAAAGTGCAGAGTGAGTGCTTTACCACTGAGCCACTGGGACTGCAAATGAGGCAAGTGAGGGAGACTAGAAATTATAGTGAGGGATGCTCATGTTGTGTAAGTCTGGTCATGAGGTCAAGAATGCATATCAACCTAGCGTCAGGTATCGGCGTGAGGTTATCACGTGTGCGTCAGGGATCAATAGCGAGAGGCGCGCTGCATGGCGAATGCTGTCAAACATTTCCCCGGCGCATCACGCCATACAAACATGGCGGGGCGGCTGCAGGCGTAACCCGCACGCTCATTGGCTGAGGCTCCAGCGGCCGGTGTGACGTCGGGGCTGCCGAGGCGCTGATTGGGTGACGCCACATGGTACCACCTCGCCTGAGTCCCGCCTGGAAATTGCTGTTTAAAGACCCTATAAAGCCGGGGCGAGGTATCATCTTCCAGTGTACAAGGAGTGTTCACCGGGATAACACGAAATAGGTCGTCTGCTGTGCGAAAAGCAGAAAACTTAAGTGCTCTGTAGTTTGAGTAAGTACGTTGACTAGTCTTAAGTGGAAGTGTTACAAGTGTCGTTATATAAAAAACACCAGAGGAACCCCATAGAGTTGAACGACAAGCAGTTTGGACATTTTTTTTTAATAGGCTTATGTCGGAAAATGAAGCTTTTTAATCAGCTGAATTCATGTGTTATTGTGGCTTATTTGTGCAGAATTTTGTTTATATAAAAATTTAAGTAAACTCCAAATCATTGATTTCAACATTAGAACATATAATTAAGGTGTGCCTATAAGAATGGTGCAAACTGAAGGTGTCCCATTTACAGATAGGCCTACGCTTACTGGCAGCCCGTACACAGCTGTCGGCCTACCAGTGAACACCTTGACAGCCCCCCAGACGACAACCAATTTGCCGGCATGCCAGCTTACGCAGAGACCCTGGCCGAGGCCAAGCCTGCCGACCCACAGGTGATCACACAGCTCGCCAATGACACGAAGGTGAGTCTCCAAGGCTAGTTTGTGTGGCCAGGCTCGTGGGTTTGTCTCGATAATTGGCTGTTGACAATCCCTGCTCTTGGATCGGAGTAGTTTGTCTTTTAACATCAAATTAGACGCTGATGCTCTTAAATATACACATTTTAAATATATATTTATTTGTATATATATAAATAAATATATATAAATAAGGTACATTGGGATTGTGAGGATACATAGCATAGTAATTGCATTCTTGTAAAGCCACTAGTACGCGCAGCGTTTCGGGCAGGTCCTTAAACTAAATATATTTATCTAATCTTAATATATCTAGCTATTAAATTGGTTTTGAGCATTGTGTATATCGTCTGTCTCGAGCCTGGCTGTGAATTATTGTGTGTATTCCTTGTGAATCTGTGAAGTAAACGTACGTCGCAGACCGGCATGTTTTGCCGGCTGGCGACACAGGTGCGAGCTGTCAGCAGGATAACGGCAGGCTCGGCCCAGCTAGGGATGCTGCCCATCTTAAGATGGACGGTTGTATTGTGAAAGTCGTTGGCGAATATTAGATACACTTGCAGGCATCTGTTGACCTATATTATATATATACCCCTCTTGCGTAATAAGGCACCAAAACGTACATGGTGTGTACTTATGCTTAGGCTAAACTTGTTATTAAATTGATATTAACGCGATGACATTACTTAGAGATAAATGGTAATTTGTTTTTTAGATGATTATAGTTTTTTGTATGTATTTACATTTCTAAAAATACATTAACAAGCATATGTAGCGTTTCGGGCAGGTCTTACGGCAAACAAAATATTTTATACATGATTTTGAAGTTATTTCAAAGTTACAGCTTTTGAAATAACTTCAGGTGGTGGAAACTGAAACTAAACTTACAAATAGTAATGGTGGTATGCATGAAAACTTGCAATAATTTGAAAGTTAATAAAAGTCCAATGAATAATGTATAAAAAACCTAGAGATGAAATTTGGTTGGCATTTGTACATAATTATGTATCCACAAAATTAGTGTGGCTATATAGCAAAGTATATAAATGAAGCCCATAGTTTAATTGTATTTACTAAATAATCTAGCATTTGGTGAATGTTAATCATGAAAATGATCAATATTCCAAGTTGGGATAGTGACAGCTAAAGAAAATGGGTGTCAAGGCCACAGTCGGGGAAACTGATGCTAGATCAATTTAAGCCAGTATAAATATACATATGTGAAGATCTCTGAAAAATATTGGTCATGAGTTTAATTTATAAGATAAATGGGCAATTTCTATGACGTACAAAATCATCAAGCTGATTTAGATAATTATGCTTCATTCAGGCTTTTCCTTTTATTTCCTTACATTTATAACTTTCTCTGATAGTTGGTTAAATCCGTATTCAGACCGTTGGTATATTTAAGAAATGAAAGCGAATATAAGTATATTTGTAGAAAAACAATGGAAACCAACGCTTGTGGAGGAGAAAGCCGTGAGCAGTGACTGGCAAGTGGGGAGTTTTTTTCCGGGGAAAATTTTTTGTATACAAGAAGGTCGATGACAGCTGAAGTGCAATAGTGCATGCATGTTGGTGGCTCTGCAAGACTATAAATTCACATGAACTTTGTCAGACCCGCAGGATGGGTTTGGGGGTGCATAATTCTGCCCGAAATGTAGGACTTAGTTTAGTTCATTTATTATGCACCCCATACCCATCTTGTGGGTGGTAGTGGAAAGGGTTACAGAGGCACATAATGGGCTTAGGGACTGAACCCCCACAATTCATTTAGCTAAGCCTGCCACCACAATTTAGGATTGGAAACAGGATGCGTTTTCACCTACAGCGTTATAAACCCATTGAACCGCCTACCCGTCGAAGCAGTATGTGTCAAAATTGTTAAATTTTAAAGTCCTACTGGGAAAAAATCAAGGAAAATGGTGGGGGGGGTGGGGGGTTAAGTTTTAAAGTTTTGCTAGCTTATTGGGCAGGGGCACTCAAACTGTAGGTGAACACACCGCCATAACAGCATGTTATGAAGTATGTAATGCCCGAAACGCTTTGCGTAATAGTGGCTTTAGGCATTGTATGTACAGTACTAGCTATACCTATAAGTTAAACAATCCTTGTAAATATTTATTGTATGTATGTATGTACCTTACCATGTACAACACTCCCCAATAGGATGAAAACCCGCTGGGTTGTTCATCCTTTTACTTGTACCCAGGCACAGCTGGGTCTTGATTAAGTCTTAAGTGAATAACTTAACATTTGTCAACCCTTAAAAACTTACTGGTGCAAAATAGGAAAGCATTTACATTTGACAGGGTATTTTCCTAACTCAAACAATGTGGGGTTTACTATGTTACATACACTTCTAACATCTCTTAGATGTTCTCTAAGAGATGTTAGATGAATGTTAGAATGAATAAGAGATATTAGATGAGATGTTCTGAATGGCAGGCGGTGATATTCACACTCAACACAGATTTGGGGGGACCTTTAACAAGCCGCTGGCTTCCTGTCCTCATTGAGGCCACTAGTATTAGTTCCCTCAGATAAATTCAGTAAATGCTGTGTGTTAGTGGCTTTGTAAGAACACCAGTGTTATGTTCTCTCACAAACAATGTACTTGTATATAAATAATAAATAAAGTAAACTATGGGCACTGTTATTTTCAGAGTAACATGTATAGGGCAACTATATGTAGATATCTATAAAAGAGGTCCACATTTGGAGGCCAGACACTTGGGGCTAGTCTTGCCCAACTTTTCAAGATGCCACATGGGTGGTATGGGAGTGTCATAGGCCAGTCAAGGTCAGCCTTGGTGCCACACTTTTAAGAAGTATTGGCTATTAGAGTGACCTGCTTATTTTCATAGTCTTAAATGGAGGATTTGTTTTCCATAATTTTTTCTTTTGTGTTTTTCAGGTGTTTGTAATAGTAATTTTTTTAAGATGAGCAGAAGAGTGGGGGTTGAATTGAGAGGGGCAGAGGGGGCGGGGGGGTTGAATTGAGAGGGGCAGAGGGGGGGGGGGGGTTGAATTGAGAGGGGCAGAGGGTGGGGGGGTTGAATTGAGAGGGGCAGAAAGGGGGGGGTTGAATTGAGAGGGGCAGAGGGGGGGGTTGAATTGAGAGGAGGTAGGAGAGACCCGGGCACAACTGGGTACCCTGTCAAGTGGTATTTTGTGACTTAACAGTTCATACATGACTGGTGGATTATTATATATTAATCCAAAATAGTGTTTTCCTCTTTAGGTTAAATAAAATATTGTGTATGCTGTAGTTAAACAAATTAAGTACAGTATTGATAATGTCTAACGATCTTGTATACAGAAGAGTGCCAAGGCTGGTGGGAGAGAAGGGGTGGTGGTGAGTGGAATGTCTGGCCGCTTCCCGGAGAGCAACAATGTGCAGGAGTTTGCCGACAACCTCTTCTCTGGTGTCGACATGGTCACCGAGGACTCCCGCCGCTGGACCCCCGGTAAGCTGCCCACACACTATCCACTAGTTTTTAATTCCCCCTCCCCCCCCAAAAATGGGTTTAGTTATTAACTGTACTTATTTCATATTCAGATACAGGTAGGTCTATTTTGTTCAGACAAAATTTTTTTATTGAGGGCCACCATCTCTCTAGCAACCCCAAAAGACAGAAAGCAGGCATCTTGTCAAAGGTCCCTCCCATTTGTCCTGATTTTATTGAGTTGCATCTTAAAATTCAGCAATGTTTTGGCTTTTATTGCTTTGGCAGGTAGGCAGTTCCATGAGTTTATAACCCCATTGTTTTGATGATGATCAGCCCTGTCATGTCAGGTTTGCAGTGTTAGTTCTGGGGCCCTTAATTGTTCCTGGTATGAGAGTTGACTTGGTTCAGGAATGATTTTTTGTTGTCCAGTGTTGAACTTTCTCCATCACAGATATGTCTGGAGATAAGGTCTCCCTGCTTGAATACAATAATCCAAGTGGATCAGATAATTTAATCCTGTCCTTCCTGTCCTCAATCTCTGGTGCCCCAAACAGCACCACCTTACAGCTGAATAACTTTTCTTGAATCAAAGATTTGCTTGACTATTCCTAGGGTTTGGTTAGCTTTCTTTTACTGCAGCTTCAACTTGTTGTGCAACTTTTAGTGAATGGTGGATTCTGACTCTCCACTATTTCAAGATCCTTTCACTGCTTTTTTTCTGAATAAATGTTTCTTAAATTACAGTAATGCAAATTTTTTCAACCACAACCAATAAAAAATTTATTAGTCATGTATATTACTACCATAACACTAAATATCATTAGTACTAAATTTTTTTTTCTTTTATACCAACTCCAATGATAGCTTAATGAAGACATCTTAGGCAAGTTCCAAGTACAGTATTGAAGTACCATAGTCTCGTTTTATTATTTTTATAGCAACTAGTCTTTTGATGCTAGCAACTATCACAATGCTGACAATTTAAATGTTTATATTAATGTGGAGCATTTTGTATTTTTTGCTAGTGCAATGGTTACATATACTTGATAATGACCCTTTACCATTTTTCTATTGATCTACATAATTCACTATTTTTTCTCATTTAGTTTTAAATCCTAGTTTTTTCCATTTTATACCAAAAATGCACAGTGTATTAGTGGCTTTAGGCATTGTAACTGTCCTACCCATGATTCGTACATTTTTATATCCTATTTGTGTGTGTACTTTTGCTTAAATGAAAATTATTTGTATAGGTTTTGTATGCATTGGATTAACTTTATAAAATAACCATTAAATTAAAACTTTATTATGCAGATACTGTACACTAATTATGTCCCCCCCCCCTAGTGTAGTGTAATTATTTACTTAAAATACTAGTATCAGCTGATGATACATGACACTTGACCACTTGTTTACAACTGTTTCAATCATTAAATAATTTATTACTGTTCATTAGAGCTAAAGTAAATCACTTGTCTTGAAGGTTAATGTTTCCTCCCTGTCTCATTAATGTCTGAAAATGGTTAAAATCTTGATTCTCTTAAACCCTAAAGCTTTGAAGCAAATTACATTATAGTAACTTCTCAAGATGAAATATTTGCTTATACCATAATTTTAAACTTCCGTTTCCTGTAAGCTTATTATAGTAAATTAGTCTCGAATATTGTTGTGGACCAAATGTGTGTGTTAAATGTCGCTCTACTGTGTTCCCAGGCGTTCATGGTCTGCCACTACGCTCTGGCAAGCTTCCCGACCTGGCCCACTTTGACAGTGCTTTCTTCAGTGTATCGCCAAGACAAGCTCATGCCATGGACCCCCAACTGCGTCTCCTGCTCGAGCTAACTTATGAGGCTATTCTTGATGCTGGTAATGTCCTGTGATTTTCTTAAAGTACAATACTTGTAATTTGGAACACCTTCAACAAAAGTTATTGGATGGCAATTGTATAAATGTTTACTGTTTATATATTTTTTTATTGTAATTTTCTCTGCAGTACTGTACATAACTGTAACAATACTGTTGAAGAAGAATTTGGTAGATTCATCTTTTCTTGCTCTAAGTAGATAAACATTAAAACATTCACTTCTTGCCCTCTTTAATTCTGGTAGCACTTTATAGGTGTAAACCCGAGTGAGTTACGTGGGCGTCGTGTGGGTGTGTATGTTGGTGTGAGCAGCAGTGAGAGTGAGGAGGCATGGACAGCTGACCCAGCAAATGTATCCGGCTATGCCCTCACTGGCTGTTGTCGGGCCATGTTCCCCAACAGATTGTCTTACACATTTGACTTTAAGGGTAAGTTATCTCTTATAGGCACTAAATAAACATGCCAAAAGTTTATTTTGGCTTTATTCTATTAATTTTTTTTAATTTGATGAGTTTAAAGAGTGGGTTGGGTTGAGCAATTTATTTAGCAAATGGGCACTACAAACACTATTGGTAATTTTATAGCAATCATAGTAAGAAACATCTTTTCCTGTAGGTCCCAGCTTTGCAATAGACACAGCTTGCTCATCATCAATGATAGCACTTCAAACAGCATGGTCAGCAGTGTCTGAAGGAGAGGTGGAGGCAGCAGTAGTGGGGGGTACCAACCTTACACTCAAACCCCAGAACTCGATGCAGTTCAATGCCCTCAATATGCTTGCTCCTGATGGAAAATGCAAGTCCTTTGATGCCTCTGGTGATGGGTTAGTATTCAGTCATATCCATTTTTTCTTTATTAATATGAATAAAGGGTTGTTAATTATATTTTTAATTTAGGAAAACTAAATTGGAAACTGCAATCTCAGGTATGTGAGGAGTGAGGCAGCAGTGGTGATATTCCTGCAGCGGGCATCAGATGCTCGCAGGGTGTATGCCCATGTTGTCCATGCTCGGGCCAACACTGATGGGAACAAGAGTGAGGGAGTCACTTTTCCTTCAGGCAAAGTACAGAGAGAACTTCTACAAGAGGTTTACAACCATGCTGGAATATCTCCCCTAGAGGTTTCCTACATTGAAGCCCATGGAACTGGCACAAAGGTTTGTCTTGTGATGCCACTTCTTACAACATGAAAGCATGCATGCTAAAATAATTATTTTTACATCAGTGTTTTTTTTTAGTTTAATTCATTTATTATGCACCCCATACCCATCTTGTGGGCAGTAGTGGAAAGGGTTACAGAGGTACATAATGGGCTCAGGGACTGAACCCCACAATTCATTTAGCTAAGCAAGTTACAATCTTGATGAGCTAGTTACAAAATTCAGTATAAGTCGTCACATCAACAATGGGTTCGAGATCGACCTCAAGTACAGGTTCTTTAAGCAACTGACATACATCAGTGTAACTAAATTTTCATAGAATTTAGTGGGCCAAATAAAATATTCAGAGGGGACTATGGAAATTGACATTGCAATTATCCTTCATGACTCTTTGCTTCAATTATATTGATTGCCTTTTAACATTATATCATAAAAGCCTAAACTGTGTGTTAATATCATGTGCTTTCTCAGGCAGGTGATCCACAGGAAGTGGGTGCTTTAGCCGAGGTGTTCTGCCCTGGTCGCTCAAACCCTCTCCTGATGGGCTCTGTTAAATCTAATATGGGCCATTCAGAACCTGCTTCTGGGCTCTGCTCCATAGTAAAGGTTGGTAAAGTTTCTCTACTACAATACCAACATAGCTATTTTAAATTGGTCTTTTTGTAGTTACTTGCTCAACATGTACAGTCAGTATTAATGATTTTTAAAGTGAAATGGTTTCATATTGCCAATAATATCCTTCATGCATACTACATACATTATGGTTCAGGTATTGCTGGCAATGCAACGGAAAGAGCTACCTGGAAATCTGCACTTCAGTTCCCCCAATCCCAACATACCATCACTACTGGATGGGAGTATAAAGGTACAAAACTTCTTTGAATTCTTGATAATCTCAAATATTGGTGTATAATTTGTAAAATTACAAATGGTTGACGAATCATTACTTAAATCATTCTTTGTGATTAGTTTTTACCTCTCAAAGATTTTCTAATGTTTTATTGGTCTTTGGGGTCATATTTAGTACAATATTCTATTTTCTATTGGCTGCTTTGTCAAAACTTTCAATCCTTGAGAGGACTAAATAGATTAATCAATGTTTATATACTGCCTGGGCCAATAAAACCAATCAAATCTTTTGGAGTGCAGTGATGATTAATCTAAACTTGGTCTTTTAACAAATTTGAGGCATTAATTTAATGAAATGTAAAAATGGTTGAAATATTCTAACCCAGATCTATCAACATGGATTAGCGTGCTTGGCATACTTTTTTTTCTCTCTCCTAATGGGCTCACATTGTAGAGATTATCCTTAAGTTTCAACATCCCATCCCCAACTTTCCAGCCAATTTGATTAATACAAGGTGTGGTGAATAGAGATATTGCATTATGTATATATCGCATCACTGCCATAACACGGTTTAATTTCACAATACTGTATTATCATCAAATACATTTGTTTTGTATATTACTGTTTTTATGAAAGTATGGTAATGTGCATGTATTAGTGCTGTATTTGGAGCCACTTCAGTTTGTTAAAGGGTAAATTGGAGTAAAGTACTTGCTCTTAAAAGAGTATAAAAGAGAATTAGAGTATGCTAGAGTAAAGTTTTAATATGTAATGATTATGGTTGACAGGTTGTAAGCCAGAACACCCCCTGGTCTGGTGGTTATGCAGCCGTGAACAGCTTTGGTTTTGGTGGTGCCAATGTGCATGTTCTCCTGCATTCCCCAGGAGATTACCCCAAGCTCACAACTCCAAATCACTCGCGAGGTATTCTCATACCCTCCACACAAAGAATAAACCCAGCATCCTCTCCCAATGGATTAATTCCAGAAGAATGTAGCTTTACTATGGACACAGCTGAGAAACATACTAAAGAGGATTTGGCAGTTGGTTCATTCTCCGATGACCAGCCAAGGCTGGTATTGGCCTCTGGTCGCACTGAAGAGGCAGTGACAACGCTACTAGAAGGAATCAAAGAAACGGCGACCCCAGCACTCTGTAGTCTCTTCGACAAACTGTGTGATATGCCCACCAACAGTCACCCTGCTCGTGGTTATGTTGCTGTTAACTCTGGGAAAGAAGTTTTGCAGGTAAGAAAATGTTAATGCATAGAGACCCTAAACATGGGCTGATATATCACACTGTACACAAAATATGGTGATCATGTGCTGTTATGGTTTGAATTAAGACAAATATTAAAAAGGAACTTGGTTCATGGTAGGGATACTGTAGGTGGAATGTATGAAACTTGGTAAATGCAAATGTGTGGCAGAAAATGAATTGTGAAAATTAATAAAGTTGTGGGTAAGTATTGATCCTAGTGGCAACAAGTATTAAAAAAAATAATGTAAATGGTAATAGAGTAGGAAATTGGGTTGGAAACCAGAATGAATATGAAAGGCATTAGTGTTGAATTTAAATACTTGTACACTTGATAAATTTGCTTGAAAGCAAAGACTGGGAGAGCGATTACAATGAAAGTGTAATACCAATACTGTGCTGATTATGAAGAAAAGATAGGATGTGTGGTTAGAAGGCTATATGAAGTGATTGCTTCATTTCCACAGGAGTGAATCACTCAAAGTAGAATGGTAAAAAAAAAAAAAGTTTATGGAATTAAAATACAATACAGAACTGCAATGAAAATTTTTCAACTCTGTACTTAAAGTGGAGGAAAGTGTTCTATGGTAGTGATTTTGAAGGAATACTTAAAGCAAAAAGCAAATATGTTAGCATTTATAAAGTACATTGCAAAATAAGATGTTCTTAAATTTACATGGTCATAACCTAATTATACCACCTGGTACAGGTGTCCCGTGCTTCGCCCTCTCCGCGGCCCCTCTGGCTGGTCTTCTCCGGCATGGGCTCACAGTGGAGTGGCTGTGGCCGCTCCCTCCTTCGCCTGCCTATATTTGCTGCCTCGGTCAGGAGATGTCATGCTGCCCTCCTGCCACTCGGACTTGACCTTGTTCAAATTCTGACAAGTGAAGACCCTCTTGTAATGTCCTCAACAGCAGCCAGTTTTTCTGCAATTGCTGCCATGCAGGTACAGTATTAAAATGTACAAGTACAGTAATGTACTGCATATTTTATTGCAATACAGTATTTATAATGAAACAAATTATTAGCAAGACTTAAAGTAAGATGAAAATGGTCTGTGAAGACATCAGTTAGTATACAATTATTACAGTATAAACAGAAGACCCCAATTTAATGACTACAGAGTAGTGATAGTAAATGTGTATCTTAAAAGTAATGCTGTGATTACCAGCTTTTATGTAAAACTAGAGTAATCTAGTGTACTGTAGGAAATACTGTATATGACCATTAAGAATTGTTGCTTAAGGTTTTTCTTTTCCTGATAATGTCAGGTGGGCCTTCTGGATCTACTAAGAAAAGTTGGGGTGCAGGAGGTGGCAGGGATGGTAGGACACAGTGTTGGGGAACTGGGATGTGCTTATGCTGATGGGGCTTTGACAGCAGAGCAAACGGTGCTGGCAGCCTATTGGCGAGGCAGAGCTGTGCAAGAAGCCACCCTTCCTCCTGGTGCTATGGCTGCAGTTGGTAAGTTGATGCTAGTAAATTTATTGATGGTTAGTGTGTTTACTGCAGGTAGAATTTTTCAATCTTATTCTGGGTTCCACATTTGACGTGAAGCATGGATTTTGTATAATTATCCTTAATTTGCATAACGTAGTGAGGCCTTCCTAAATCTGGCATTGAGAACCTGAAGTCAAGGCCAGACTGGCTGCAGAATTTTGAGATTGAATATAATAATTTATTCACAAGAAGGTACAATGGGTTGGTGAAATTACATAAGATTAGTATTTTTACATTCTTGCAAAGCCTAACATGTGTAGCATTTCGGGCAGGTATCCAGATATGGTATTATAACTTTATTTTGCCGGTCATTAAACTACCAAGCCCTGACTGTTCTACTGAAAGCAAAAGTAATTTTCTTTTTTACACTATATTAGTCAGCATTTGTGTGCACACAAAATTGGTTTTAGTCTATGCTGGAATATTATCATTTGCAGTAAAAATCCAGACAATTTAGGAATGGCCAAGAGAGTTGTAAAAAAAAAAAAATGGAAATTCAGATTATTCATCAACCTGCTCTAGAATTAATGAAGATTTTGGAGGATCCACTTAATGTGCCTTGCCACAGAACTAGAATTTGAAGGTATAGTACCTTTTTAAATTAATACCATATAACATTTGTCAGGTCTGAGTGCACAAGAGGCAGAGAAGTGGTGCAAAGATGGTGTGATTGTAGCTTGTCACAATGCCCATGACTCCGTCACGCTCTCTGGTCCACAAGACGCCATCAAGGAGGTGCTAGAAAAGCTCACCAGTGATGGAATATTCTGTCGTGCAGTAAAGTCTGAAGGTGTTGCCTTCCACCATCCCTCCCTCAAGTCTGCTGCCCCATGTCTCTTCAGAGAGCTAAGCAAGGTACAGTTCATGGGTAATGTAGACCTAATGTCGGTAATCTGGTCACTGTACTCGAAAAGGTATATTAGGCATCGGTAAATTTCCTTTGGTTCTTATGATAGTTCAATATTAAATGATGACTGTACTGTATTGTAATACTGTAAATGATTAATGTAATATACTGTTAAAAATTTTCAATTCAGATCATCCCATGTGCTCGGCAACGGTCATCACGGTGGGTTAGTTCGTCAGTGCCAGAGACTCGGTGGGACTGCCCAGAGGTCAACCTTGCCTCTGCTGATTACCTTGTCAACAATCTCCTCTCTCCAGGTCTGCCATGTGTATTACTTGGTTTTGTTAACTATTGTACCTGTGATAGGAGAATAAGACATTTTTAAGAATTTTAGTACAGTAATACAATTTTGTGATAGTATATTCTGAGTAAAGTCAGTTTTAATGCTTTCTTAATTTTATTGCATGCAAGAGTTGTAATAATTTTATTGTTTAATTAAATATAATGGTACTAGTACTGTAATTTATTTCAGTACTGTTTGCCGAGGCACTGGAAAAGGTTCATGCCAATTCTGTGGTAGTAGAAGTGTCTCCTCATGGTCTGCTGCAGGCCATACTAAGGAGGTCATTGCCACAAGCTACACCCATCCCTCTCATCAGGAAGGATGCAAAGTGCCCTCTGACACACTTCTTGGAATCCCTTGGAAAGTAAGTAAAGAAAAATGGCAAGGCTTGGGGACAAGAGTTCCATTTTTCCCCCAAACATGCCTGCACTTGATTATGTATGGAATGATTGAAATTTAAATGCAATAAGTGTTTTGTAATACTAATAAAGGTTGAGAGCCTAAAGGCATTGTACACATGATGAATGGGTAAAAGAGGTGTTTGTTATATAGTGGGGGTAATAATAAGGTAACCTCAAGGTAACCTCAAGGTAACCTCAAGGTAAGGTAAGGGGACTGTGGATGGAGGGAGAAACTGTGATGGCCTTTAAAAGGAATATCCGGAAATCTTTTATCACATGGGAAGTGTTAAAAAACATAAAATAGATTAAAAAATGGAGAGGCTTTCACAAATGCAAAAGGTGAAAGATTAAAGTTGAAAAGTTAATGCATGGTCAATAGTAAAAAATAGAGAATAGGAGTGTTAACACCTGGTTAAAGTACCTCACTTTACGTAAAAATTGTAAGAGAATGGATAGGTGTGGTAATTCTACTAGCGAGTGTATTTTACTGTTCAGTATATGCCTTATTAATGTTCTTTAAAAATATTGTACATTAAAGTGCATGAACAATAATCACATTTTCTTAATCATCTAATCAACAAATGATATACGTTGGGTATTACGTTTGTTTAAGATTCGGATTTGACAAATTGTTAAATTACAGTACTGTATAGTGAATTTGTTGCCTTGATTTACTCTCCTTTGCAGAGCAATATTTTGCTTGACAAAACTAGTTCTTTGCTGAAAATCTGAAGTGCAGAAGTGACAAATATTACTAACTGGCATTTTTTTTTATCTTTAGGATGTACCTAGGTGGTGTGAGCATTGATGTAGGAGTCCTTTACCCTCCACTTGCTATGCCTGTTCCGTCTTCCACTCCGTCCATTGCCAGCCTTATCAGGTAATAATAAAATGTCTTGGTTTATATCAAAATGCACAAAAGAATGTTTAATATTTCCAATTACTATTATTACATGATCAATTAAAGACTTGGTATATATATATATAATAGAATTTTAACTTTGTGTGAAGGTGGGACCATTGTCAGGAGTGGGATGTGGCCCGCTTCAGCACCTCTCCCGCAGGCTCCGAGTACGAGGTGAAGGTGGACTTGGAGTCCGAGGAGCATCAGTACCTTGAAGGCCACACTATTGATGGACGTGTTATCTTCCCTGCCACAGGCTACCTGGTGGGTAAAGCATAAAGACATAAAATAAATTTGTATCCTATTTAGATTTGTTAATTGTATAGTATAGATATCTAGATACTGGTATGCAGGGTACTGGTACATAAATTTGTGAACAGTATGTAATGATTTTATATATGCAGTTATCCATTTAATTTTACATGGTAAACAGCACCCTCATTAAAATATATTTAATTTAAAATGTCACTGTATCCCCATAAAGTTTATTCTATTGCTTGCAGGTGTTGGCTTGGCAAGCATTGTGCCGCCTGAAGGGCACACAGTGGGAGGAGACCCCCGTCACCTTCAGCAATGTGACACTCCACCAGGCCACTGTCCTCTCCTCCCCTTCTAACAATGCTGCTGCTCCCACTACCACCACTCTTGTTGTCAGGATCTTGCTTGTTAAGGGCGAGTTTGAGGTAAGAATAAAGCTCGTTAGTGTGTTTTATATTTGAAGTTAAAAGTATATTACTCTTCTAAATATTTTTTATACTGTAATGAAAATAAAATGCCAAAATTTGGTTAAACTTAAGTGCATTAATACTTTTTTTAGGTGGTTGTAAGTGATTCGGTGGCAGCCTCTGGATGTATTCACTTGGGAGTAGAACAGTCTGGTGAAAGCAAGTCTTTGGTGGATTTCCTGACTTCATCAGCTGAAGGAAATGGTGAAATTCTTCAACAGAAGGATGTATACCAGGAACTTAGACTTCGAGGGTATCATTATGGGGGAATCTTCCAGGGCATTGCACAAACAAATCTAAAAGGTGAAAACTCTAGTGTATGCAGCTTATGTTGGTGAAAAGTAATTCTTATACTGTAAATCATTTGCCCATTTTTTAATATAGAGTACTGTACTATATTTTTATTTTGCCAATTGCTTCATCTGGATTTTGTAATTTGCAAGGAACGTATGGGACTCTCATGTGGAAAGAGAATTGGGTATCGTTCCTTGATACAATGCTCCAGTTCTCCCTAGTTGGAGCTAAGCAGCGTGCACTGATGCTTCCCACTAGAATACGCAAATTTACTGTCGACCCCAGCAAGCTCCTATGTAATGTAAAGGAGGAAGATGACCTTAAGACAGTGACTGTAAGTACTTGTAGCATGTTCTGCATGACAGTGTTGATAAGGTTTACTATAAGGAGATATACATGGTCCTGAATAATTCCTTAGATTTCCAAATACAGTTCTTATGTTGACCACCTTAGTATATGCTGCTATTGTGTTATCAAATTGAATGTGGGCTTCAGGGGACAGATATGGTGAGATAACAACCCCCAGGTCTCTTTGTACCTGATTCTTGAAGGATTTAATCTGTGTACTTTGTGTCTGGCCCCCCTATTCCCTACACAGAATTTCATTACTTATTGCCTAAACTCTAGTAGCCATTATTTAGACCATCCTTTGTTTGGTCTAGGTCATCTTGTAGTCTCTTGCTATCTTGCCAACTCTTATACATTTATATGTACATGTGAGTATGTGTACATGTACCATTAAATGGCCCGATATGAAAGCAAACATGTCTGTGTATCATCACTCCCCCTAGCCATAATCTTTTTCCTATATCAATACATAGTAGGGCATAAATAAACTTAAATGTTATGATGCCTCTTCCTCCTTGGGCTGGTCATACTACTGCGGGCAGACATAAATTTTACATTCAAACACTATAAATCTATATTGAAAGTGTGACTTTGTGCTGAGTTAGCACTGCAAGCACTGGGCCACTGACAGTCATATGTACTTAATGTACAGTATTGTATTATATACTAGAGGTAAAGTTGTCAAACAATACAAAAAAAAATTATTGTATTTATAATTTTTTCTTTTGAACCCTTGCCAGGTACAGCACAACTCTCGTATTGGAGTAACATCTTGCCAGGGAGTACTTATTCAAGGGCTGAAGGCCACACTCGCCCCAAGGAGACCTACCCAAGACCGCCCTCTGTTAGAGACGTACCAGTTTGTCCCACTTCATTTGACTGAAGAATGTAAGATTGAATCTTGTATTTCAAAGGAAACACACCTAGGGCTGCTTCTGGACATAACCCTAGAGAACTTGTTAGGTCATGGGCTGAAGATTGTAGAGAGCACTGCTTCTGCAGCTTCAAACACCTCCATCCTAGATACAGCTGTGGCACTACCACTTGCAGAACTTCTCGCCTTAAAGCCACAGCTTAAGGCAAGTCCAAATATATTTCCTATTGGATCATGATAACAAATTCTAGACTTCATGTTTTTGGAAGATGAATATATGTCTAATTGTTGATAGGCAATAAAGAGTATCAACACTTGTATGTATCTTGTTTAGGCAAGAAAACAATTGACATGTTCATTCCAAACAGATTGACTACATCCTTCACACAGCCGAAAAATTATCGGGGGAAGAGCAGGAAAGTCTCCACTCTGCAGGAGTAGTTGTAAAGGCTGACCTTGCCTCAACCCTGTCTCCACCCCCACATCTTCTTATCCTCCACCAGTGTCAAGATTTGGAGATAGTTGACAAACTGAATTATGGCTCATTTATCATGACAAACAATGAAAGTGTAGAAGAGATTTTAAAAGGTGCTGGGTGCCATGAGATTGCTTCAGCAGAGAAGATTGGCATGAAATTATTCAGAAAGGTATGTTGTACCTAAAGTAAAGGGAAGAAGTAAAATTTGTAATATAGATTACCCTGTTATACCAGCTTATTTTTGTATACAGTATGCTTGTTAGCATGTCTAAATAAAAAAGCTTTAATCTTTCTAATCTTGTTTAAAGTAGGTACACTTGTATCTTGATGGGCTTAAGATCAACATGGAGATGAAGAGTAACTTCATACAGGAAAGGTTACAAACTAACAAGGTTATCTGAATGATGGGTTTATCACTTGTGAACACATCTGACATTTCAATACAATATGAATACAGTAATGTAGATACTGTGTGTTGCTGAAGTTGTACACACTAGTTCATAGGCTGGTATTATGGGGCTTGTTTTGATGTATGGATCACATCCTGTTTGTAATGTTATATTTGGAAAGTTTATTATTAGTTGTCATTCTTAAATTAGGCTTGTACCTTTTTACTCAGACCCAGGTGGAGGTTTCACATGCAACATTGGAAATTTGTGGTACTGATGCTAACTACTCCTGGGTGAATATGCTTAAGGAAAAGATACTGGATCCTACCATTGAAAATTTGTGGCTCGTCTCTTCAGGTGAACCCTCATCGGGTATCCTAGGACTTGTAAATTGCCTCAGGAGGGAACCTGGGGGAGAAAAAATCCGGTAAATATTTTTGATAGTACCGATCACAATTCTTTAATTTTTAAGCATAAAATTCTGAACATTTTGATACACAAGAGTTGCTAATAAATATCATACGTTTTTACAGATGTGTGTTTGTTCCTGAAGGAAAGGCTATATTAGACCCAGATTTGCTTGCTCGTGACTTGGCCATCAATGTTCGTCAAGGCAAGGTTTGGGGAACATACAGACATGTACCATTGAGTCAACTTGCACCTCAGCCGTCCACACAGGCTTTATTGAATGTAGCCACTCGTGGCGACTTAGCCTCTCTCACTTGGTTCCAAATGGCCTCACAAGAATCATGCGAGAGAGATATGAAGTTGTGTGAAGTCTACTATGCACCATTGAACTTCCGTGACGTGATGCTGGCCACAGGAAAACTGCCACCAGATGCTTTACCAGGAGATCTGGCAATGAAGGTGTGACAGAGAAATTACATGGTTATTCTTTATATTTGCAATTTCACATAACTATAGTACTGTAGTTGCTTATCAAAAAAGTTTTAAGGGTCTTATATTTTTTCACCGTGATTTTACTTGACCTACTTCCATTCCAGGAGTGCATCTTGGGACTAGAATTTTCTGGTACGAGTGGTGGGAAACGTGTGATGGGTCTGGTTGCTGCTGGTGGGTTGGCCACTAGTGTGAGGGCTGACACACTACTCACTTGGCCCGTTCCTGCCTCTTGGTCTCTCAAAGACGCTGCTACTGTTCCTGTGGTATATGCCACGGTACGTAAAATAGTTCTTTTAAGACTACCATGTGCAGTGTTTTGGATCATGCTATATCTGCATATACAAGCTTAAATTTATTGAAATAGTTCAGGTAAGACTGATAAAAATATTTAAGATTAACTTTGCCTTGTTACAAATTGGAGCTGAAATTAAAAAAAATAATTTACTGAATAAAAGTACAGTACAGTATGTAAAATTGGAATCTTATTTCCACAGGCTTACTATGCATTGGTGGTACGTGGAGGGCTGCGACAAGGGGAAAGTGTGCTCATCCATGCTGGTTCTGGTGGTGTGGGACAGGCAGCCATTAGTATTGCCTTATCCCTATCTTGCACTGTTTATACCACCGTTAGTACTACACAAAAGAAGGAATTCTTGCAGAAAAGATTTCCTCAGGTAGGTTGAGATTTAATATGCGTTATGTTCTGTATTCATTGTCAGTCGTTATTATGTAAAAAGTTATAACGTGTCATGATACTGATATTTAGTAAATTGTTTCAAAGCCTATTAAAACAGTCACTGCTCCTACTCACAGCTGAAAGACGAGAACTTTGCTAATTCACGAGATGTGAGCTTCGAGTACGCAGTACTGGAGCGAACTGGAGGCAGTGGGGTGGACGTTGTACTAAACTCTCTGGCCGGGGAGCTACTACAGGCCTCCGTCAGGTGCCTGAGGGAGCATGGTCGCTTCCTTGAGATAGGCAAGGCTGATCTCTCCAACAACACAGCCTTGGGTGGGTAGTAGGGAGCAATATTTAAGAAGATATTTAAGACTAAGTTGCTTGCCATTCAATTGCATTCTGGTGTATTGTACAATAAACTGTAAAAATGGTAGTACTTCTAGATTTTTTTCAAAGGGTTAACTTAACATTTTTATTAAGTAAGTCACTTCTTAATTGCAGGCATGGCAGTATTCCTGAAGAATGTGACTTTCCATGGTATCTTGCTGGATGCTTTATTTGAAGCCACTCCTGAAGAGCGACAACGCCTCAACCGTCTTGTGAAGGAGGGCTTAAAGAACGGAGTGGTGACGCCCCTTGCAGCCACATTATTCACTAGGGACTGCGCTGAAGATGCATTCAGGTATGATTGTTCTTAACTAGTTAGGTATACAGAGGGTTTTGTATATTAATATACTAAGTATTATTATATGTACTTAATAATATATTATTAATAATATAACTAATGTTATACTGCATGGCCTAATGTTATAAATGAATTGAGTATGTTAATCGAATACATTATTTGTATTTGAAATGTTTGAAATGTTGGAGCTTGTTAATTTTAATTATATTGCTGTAATTCATGAATATTTGGCAATTTCTCATCTATATGTGACTACGGTTGAATGGTAGAGAGAAACGACGTGTAATTTCAGGGAAATTTTTTCAAGTTTTTCCCACAATGAATTTATTTTTTATTATGATCACTAGAAAGGGCAGATTATGCTATACTGTAGATACAAAATAAATTAAAAAAATGACATTAATTTTAGCTCTATATACTGTACTGTAGATTCAAGAAAAAGAGTGGATCCAAAATTAAATTACCACGGCCAAAGAGGGAGTGGCATACGGTAATTAAATCTTGCTGTTTAATGTTTAAAGTTTATAATTTTGTCTGGATAAAGAAAGACTACAATCTAGTGTTTTAATATTCTTGCAGATATATGGCAACAGGCAAACACATTGGTAAAGTTGTGCTGGAGGTGAAGCCTGAGGTGACCAGTAACTCGCCCACCTCACAAAACACTACCTTGGTGTCGGCAGTACCTAGAGTGACTGCTCACGCTCACATGGTGTATATCATAACGGGTGGGTTGGGTGGACTTGGATTGGAGCTGGCTGGTTGGCTGGTCAGTCGTGGGGCCAGGAAACTTGTGCTCACTTCTCGACGAGGCATCAACACTGGATATCAGGTATGTAGAAGAGTACATCATTTCTTTCATATGATAAAATACAATAGTACTGGTATTTTTGTGTACAGTACTGTAATTTTTTTGTGTAAGGAAGGGACTGCAGTTATTTGAATCTTGCTACTAGAACATTTAATAAATTAGTTAAAAAATTCTAAACTTTGTTAATAATTGTAATGTGACTACATTCACCCTAAATCGGTCGGAAACTGTAAACTGCTCTGTTGATGGAAATTGTGGTATTGCCACAGGCACTCTGTATGCGACGGTGGCTGAACTTGGGTGCAAGTGTGCAGATAATGACACAGGATGCCTCTACCTTTGCTGGGGCTACCACACTCCTGCAAAAGGCTGCTGAAGAGGGACCTATTGGTGGCATATTTCATCTTGCTATGGTGAGACATGTTAATTTAACTTTGTGTATAACTTGTTTGAATATGCATTGATATTTTATATTTGTTTGTATTTAATGTTAAAGATGGTTTAAAATCATAAGTGTTTTAAGTACTGTATATAAAAAATAAATGGAACATGAAATGTGCAAAGGAACATATGTAGTGGAAAAAGTTTAATTAGAAAAATTAATAAATTTAAAGCAATTGGTTATGATAGGTGCTGCAAGATTCTCTACTGGAGAACCAGACAACAGAGACCTTCAGCATCGTAAACACTGTCAAGGGTGATGGAGCAGTTGCCCTCGATGCTGCTTCTCGTACCTTCTGCCCAGACTTGCACATGTGGGTCGCCTTCTCCAGTGTTGCATGTGGCAGGGGCAATGCTGGTAAGCAGTTCCATAGTTTAATAGTTCCATAGTTCCAAAAGATACTTATAACAAGTCTTAGTTAAGCAGTAGTATCATCTAGGAGTCTGCTGACTTTTATTGGATTATCTATATATATGTTGCTCTTCTTGTATAGTAGTATGGAGAAGTTAATGTAGATTTCACTTTGTTTCAAGGTTTTGGTAAATTTCTTATTCCTGAGCTGCTTATATATAATCAAAGGTTAGCAATTCCTATTTTCTTTTTTTCTCCACTAATCAGTTCTATTGTGCATTCAAACACCAACACGAGGTGGAATCCACATGAATTTTACTCTTAAAAGTAATTAATTTTGTCTGAAGCTAGACATAAAAGCATGTTGTAAGCAGGTGGTGTTTTTTTTCCTCCCATCCTCACCCTTTCCCAAGTAATGTTGTGTGTATACTGTAGTCTTTTAGTGTGTCCACTAGTCTGGATTTGCAGGGTCAAATGGTAAGTCGCTAGCCATGCCTTTCCTGCTTCTGATCAGAGAATAGATCCAAAATTCCATCTGAAAGTCCTCAGCAGTGAGATGATGCAGTAGAGGAGGAGTTCGGACATAAAGTGAAGAGGATGCTATATGTCTAAACAAAACCGTTGCATGAAAGGCTTCGCATAGGAAATTTGAGCCGTTTGCATGCCAGAAGCTGACTGAAAGCGAGAAACCTTGTCATAGATTGGTGACCTGCATAAAGTTTGCCATTTTCCAAAGTGAAATGGTTGCTTATAACATATACTGTAGCACAGCAGAAACACATCAGATAGGGATAAGTAAGGGCTAATCTAAAAAAATTTATTCAGATGCACTGTACTGTACCCATTTTAAAGATAGTTCTGTGGTCCAGTCCATCCTGAAAGAGGCAGGCTAGACAGAAGTGACTTCCAAATTCCTTCATAGCATGAAGGATAAATAAAGTCTTATGGTGGTGAAGAATATCATAATCAGATTGTAATTTGTACAGAATGTTCCTCAGGGATAATAAATTATCTGGTTTGGTGACGGGCCACAAAAGGCAAAAACTGAATTTTCTCTCGATGACAAAGGCAAGTCATTTGAATGAAAGTTCAGTGTTTAGCGCCATCAACATTAAGGCAAGCGTTGAGGAACATTCGCATACCCACGAGTCACGCTTCCCTGTATCCTGCGATGCTTAAATATCACTAGGACATGTGTAACTTCTTTGTTAACAACTGTGAACCCTTGTTAATGTATCATTCATGGCAAAAACTGCTACAGTGCATGCACATGTGCACAAATATATTTAAGGTGCAACAGAAATTAATTGTACATGTAGGAGGCGACTTGCACGTCATGCATCCTGAAGTGTACAGATTCTAAACATAATAATTTGATATACAGTATATATCTTTTCAGATCTTAAATTGACAGAATGCAGAGGAGAAAATTTGTTGGAATAATAATTTCAAAGCCAGCTGTGTTTTGGTGTTATTAATTTGAATGTGAATTTGCAGGCCAGACAAACTATGGGTGGGCTAACAGCGTATGTGAAAGAGTTGTTGAATCCAGGGTAAGGGCTGGCCTTCCTGGTGTTGCTGTGCAATGGGGCGGTATTGGTGAAGTTGGCATTCTTGCCAACACCCTCGGAAATGTGGAGGTCAGTGATTAGTAGTAGGACTGAATGTTGTAAATGGTATAATGCTTTAAATAAAAAAAAGTGTTATACTTGGTTAGCACTTTTTTTTTTTTTTTTTTTTTTTTTTTTTTTTTTTTTTTTTTCTTCTCCCGCCTCTCTCTCTCTCTCTCTTCCCTGCAAGTCTTAATTGAAATGTATTCTCAACAGGTGGGTGGAACAAAACCACAATCAGTACGGTCGGTGTTAGAGAGCCTAGATGTGCTATTACTCAGTGGCTCTTCAATAGTGTCATCACTTTGCCTTGCTACCAGAAACTCTACCAAGGCTGATGCTAGTGGTGGAGCATCGCTCGTCAAATCTGTTGCTAACATCTTAGGTATGTTTCTCGCTCGAATAGTGTTTTAAGATGTGCTAGCTTATTATTGTGAAATTTTGAATTTGTATTGTTTTTTGTTAGCTAATTTACTGCATGATCTATTGCAGTTTTTTGTCACTGTCTAGAAAATTATTCTTGTTACAGGAATGAAAAATATTTCAAAGGCTCCCCTAGATGTGACACTTGGAGACCTGGGCCTGGACTCTCTCATGAGTGTGGAAGTGAAACAAACTTTGGAGAGGGAGGCTGACCTAGTACTCACTCCTGCTCAAGTTAGGGACCTCACACTCCGCATGCTTCAAGACATGGATAAGCAAGATGGTACCCACAGACAGACTTCAGATGAAGGTAAGAACCCGTCTTATTTATTTATTTATTTTTGTTTTTCGGGGTTGTGTTTTGGCCATTTGGTCCTGCATCTCCTGAACAGAATCTCCTGTTCTCATGTACAGATTCATGAAAATACATGTATACATTGTGCATACATACATATATGTGAATGTGTGTGTGTGTGTGTGTGTATATATATAGACAAGCCACTGGCTTCCTGTTCTTAAGGCCACTAGAGAAATGATGGCACTTGGTTAAATTCAGGGATATAAACACAAGATTGTTGTAGAGCATATGGACCACATGGGCTGCCAGAGCAGCTGCCTATGTTGCCAACCCAACTGTAATACAGTAATAAAAAGGGCATGTATACAAAATACATGTATAATATATAAGTATAATGCCAAAATACATGGCATAATATACTATGTATAAGGCATATTTTTCCACTAATGTGCTCACATTTTTCAACTACAGGTATTTTTTTTAACATGTTTTACTGTATCAAGAACTTTTTGATATTTGTTGCCAGTGTTGGTAATTCCATGCCTTGTTAAGTGCTAACTTGGTGGGCAAAGGGAGTGAGGGGTAGTATAATTTATAATTATTATTATTTGTTTAATTGGTACCAAAACTCAACCTGAAACCTTATCTAGATTTGCTTATATTAGTACAAATAATGTTGCATTGTGTAATTGATTTTTGCAGGACCTGAAGCCACATCATCCGAAGGCACAGTAAAGCCAAAGTCTGAGATGGTGCAGGTGCTACCCCAGCCATGGCTTACCCTGCCCTTGGTGCCAGAGGGTCGTGTTACAATGCTGCGAGAGACTAGCAATTCCAATGTTCCACTGTTCCTAGCAGCTCCTATACAGGGCACAGCAGTTCCCCTCACCGAGATAGCACAAGGCCTCGACCGACCTGTCTATGGCCTGCAGTACCCACCTGACGTTTCCCACAAATCAATTACAGAGATGGCAGAGGTGTTGGTTCAGGTGAGAATTTGATGAGTTACATAGTAAAAGAATTTATATACATTCTTATTTTAACCTGTATACAGCACATTGTTTTATATTTAAGACAGCATTATAAATTAGAATAATAAAATTGACTGCTTTTAAACAGAAATTGCAAGAGTTGCACCCATCAGGAGATTATGCCATTGGAGGGTACTCGTTTGGTACTGCAGTAGCCCTTGAAATGGCCCGTCTTCTGGAAGCAAAGAATCGCACCCCAATTTCAATTGTTTTGTTGGATGGCTCTCAATCTTATGTGTCTGGCATCATTGAAGGCTACAAATCTAGGCACGTTTCAAGCTTGCCTGTACACGAGTCGAGCAGAGTAAACAACGAGGCCCAGGACCAGGTAGAGATGTTAATAGTTTTTGCCATGCAGTTCACATCCGTTGATCCCGCCACACTGAAAAAGTCACTGCTAGGTTTAAACTCGTGGGAGGAACGAGTGAACCTGGTGGCGGAGCTGATAAACCAGAAGAGAATGGAGGCAGGTGTCGATTCTCAGCATGATGACCACCAGCAGGTAATGTGTTGTGAATTGTTGGAGTATTTTACGTAATGGAAGTTTGATTAAAGTCGGAGTATATTGAAAGTACTCTCATTGAAACTATAACATATTGGTTAAAGCTACTTTACAGCCCTTATTACACTATGGCATACTTAATCTATAATTTGCTGCAAAAATTAAGTATACTCTATGAAATAAGTTAATAAAATATTTAAAATTTATGCAATACATTAAATTGCCATAGATAAGTTTGTTTGGGTATTTAAAAAGCTTATGTAAATTATAAATTGATAAAATTAAATTTTGTTTCCATTAAAAGTTGTATAAATGTGAAATTATGAGGAACATACTATTACAAAAATCATTTTTGTGTGGAGTGTAGGCAGTGAAGGCAGCAGAGCTTTTGTATCAGAGGCTACTGGCTGGGAGTAGACACAAGGCAGAAGGTTGCCTCACACCACCTACACTCCTGGTGCGAGCCAGAGACAACCCCCAAGCTGCTGCTCTTGGACATGACTATGGACTCGGCAAGGTGAGGATTTCTTGGATTAATGGAGACTGCAATAGTTGCAAGGTTACAAATTTACTTTGCGAGATACTGTACTGTATAACGTTTTAATTGTTTTGTAACATTAGACAATGATTTTTTAAATACTGTAACATATTGGTTTTAGTCTATACAGTACAAAAAAGGACTGTTGCTGCAATGCTATTAAAAAAACTAATTCATTATTTGGTATTTTGGTCATTGTAGGAATACAATCTATTACATAAACCTTTGACATTGCAGATCATAGGAGGAACTCTTAAAATTGAAGAAGTTGCAGGGACTCACGAGACTTTTGTTTTGGGAAGCAGTGGCCGGCAGGTGGCCAACCTTGTGCATGCGTTCCTGCAGGAAGCGGCTCTCTCTGCCAAACTCCGTTAGTGTTCTTGAACAAAAAAAAGAATGTGGTTATATTCTGGTGAAAAGAAAAATTACCAGGAGTGATCTGTGATATAACTTTAGGGGAGTTATGGGGGTAAAAGAGAAAACTAAAGGGCTTGGGCAAGATATTAAATTTACTACGTCATTAGGATTTACTATGTCATTGTGACTTTTGGACCGAGTAGGTCTTCAATATATCTTTGCACTGACCAAAAGAAAAAAAACAAAAGTTTAGTACCAGGATATTCTTGATGAAAGTGAAGACAAAATATAGCTTTAATAGCTTCATAACTGTTCTTTTGGTTTTGTTTGTACATGTGCTTATTTATGCATAGATAAGTCTCATTTTTGTCTTTGACCAAGAGATTACAAGAAAAGTTTCTTGTTTGATATACCTCAAAACTTATGCTGTGAAGTGCATTGACTTGTTATCCTTGTACACTTAGGGTATACTTTTGATGATCCTAGGTTCCAAGTATAGGAACACAAGGAAGATATGAAGCATATTCTTCAGAGTAAAGGGATTGAGTATACTTAGAAGTGTTTACATAAAATACAGGGTTAAGTATGCATAGAACAGTATTTTAGTTTTAAGTTGTAATTTATTTATAGGTCTATGTAATGGCACAGGCACCTTATTCCTGTGTTCAAATACATAATGCTGTTATATAGTATTATTAGTTTTATTAGATTTTAAGTAAAATGCATAGGTACACACTTCAGTGCATCGATATCTAATGTGATAGTCTGATTACTCGCTTATTTCTGTGGGATGTGTTAATTGAAAAGGACTGTTTAAGGTGTGTTCTTGTATGTTCATCTCTTGACAAGTGTTGCAGTGCCATCAGTGCTCTTTGGTAAAAAAATTTAGATATATTAGGGTGCTTGTATATTTTTCTGCACATGTTTCCTTAAATATGTAAACATATGGGAAGATGTAGCATCATGATATGGCTGGTAACATTAAGCCAAATTCACTACAGTATAAGTAATCGGTACATATCATTATACTAGCCTGCTCATTCCTGCCTATTGACACAAATGTATCCTTATTTTGACTACCTATATTTTAATTTAAGTATTTTTGTATGAGATGATTTTAATGTATTTGATGTATGTGTGAATTAAGTTTTACCTAAGCAAGTATATTTATTCCACTTGCAATAACTTAAATTGTTTTATAGTTGTATCATTTTTTAGGCCCATGTTCCCATATATATATAACTTTGTATTTACATTGTGTTCACATTAAAAATTCAAAGTGTTTAAAGCTATATTAATTATACATACACAGTAACTATTATAATTGACTAATGATTTGCAGAGAACAGATGATTTGTCAAGGTTTATTAATCTAAACTGGCAGTATTGGGATCACAAGTGTTTTGCATCTTTTGAATGTTAGAAATCGTCTTTGAGGCTTGGTGCCTTCAATTCATAATTACTTGCATAGTGCTTTTATGGATATATTTTTTCCTATATGATAAATAGTAGATAAAATTCCTGGGATTTATATAGGCCCCCTGGCAATTTTAAAGTTATATAAAGAAAAATTTTAAATAATAGAGTAACTTGTTGGCAACATGAACAAAATTGCATCAAAGAAGAGTTAGTTCAGTTCATTCATTATGCACCCCATACCCATCCTGTGGGCGGTAGTGGAAAGTGTTAGACACACATAATGGGCTCGGGGACTGAACCCTCTAATTCATTTAGCTAAGCACGTTAAATCTTGATGAGCTAGTTGCAAAATACAATGCACATAGTCACATCATCAATGGGTTCGAGATCGACCACAAGTACAGTTTCTAAATTAAGCAACTGACATGTGGAGAGCTGGTGTCAAAATTGATATGTTTATCCTGTACACTACCCCCAATCCAGTGGATAGGTTACGATCACTTGGTTACTACCTACAGTTAGCAAACTTGGGGGATATTTGGCAAAGATTTCCGGTAGCAGATCTTTTTGAATTAAATATTTACACATCTCTGGAATATGTTATATAATTGTCTGAATTCACATATCTTTTCACACTCGATCACATTGTGACAGAGGGTGTGCAAAAATTATGTTGACAGTTTACATTTGATCAGGTCTACATTGGCAGATAATGAGAATTCCCAGAGATACTTGTAACAGTCTAAGCCAGGCAGTAGTAACATTTAGAAGTCTCCTGATTTTATTGCATGATTCATAGATGTGTGGCTCCTCTTGCATGATAGTATGATGATAGATGGAATTACTGGTGTCGATTTCATTTTGCCTCAGATCTACAAGATTTTGTTGAAGTTCTTGGTGTACTATTGCTCTCGGTGCTTATTGACAATCCAAGTTTTCTCAATTTCTCCTTTAAAGTCAGATTCTTTGGATAACTTGTCAGCTATCATACATTCGGAGGCCACCATGAGATGGAGTCTACATGAAATGGACTCTGTTACCATCATTAATAATTTTGTTGTATTTGTGTCTAGCATCAGACACGAGCATGTTAATTACGTCTAATAGAGTTGAGAGCAATTGATGATTTACAATCAATTGTAAATCGTCACTTACGCTTGCAAGTAATGAAGTAATGTATCAAGTTTGAAGATTTGTACACATTTCAGTGCAAGAAGCAAGGCAAATAGTTTTGCCTGAAGGGTAGAGGCCCAGTTGTTTATACAGACTCCTCACTCAAAATATAAGCCATTGCCAATTGTCAGGACGACTGCACTTCCAGCTGCACCCGTGGGGCTGTGTAGGGAACCATCAGTGTATATTATTTGAGAAGACATCAAAGCAAATGTTAACAAATGGTAAATTCTCATTTTGTTTTGCAAGCAAATTAGCTATTTCTAGGATTTTGCCACTTTAACTGCACTACCAATACATGTATAACAAGAAGAGGGAGCATGTAGTTTAAACTTGGCCAATCAGAAAGCTGGATTAACATCAGTGATGTAATACAGGTATCAATTTTGTACAGGATCCAAGGGACAAAAATGGGTGGCAACCATCTAACCCATCTGAACCTCTTCATTCCCCTCCCACTTCCTTTGCAGGGGTTGTACCCGATGTCCCTGAGGTGACCACTTCATCACCTACGATGATAATTTCATAAATGCATACAAAGTACTGTACATAAAAATGTAGGTACAGTAGATGCACATAAAATGAAACCACTCTGCACCTTTTACCTTCTCAATATAGACCATAGTGCCATAATTGCACGTGAACGTGCACGATTCCTTCAACCACTACTTCATACCATGATCTGTTTGACCCTGTTACATGACGTAAGTACTGTAGCTCGATGACTGTCATGATAAACATGCCTGCCCTGCATGTACACAAGCACCTTGTTCACTGTAGATACCCTTGTTACCTTTGACCCCACCTGGACTGGTACATGTTTTGTCGTGGCCCCTACTGATGCATCTTCATCTGCATCTTTTCTTCCTTCCTAGCTGCTCTGTCCTACATTAGTGGAGACCCCAGTGTGGGTCTCCAAAAATGTCTAAATGCCAGCATTGTCACCATCGCTCCCACACTATCTTGGGACAGAGTACTTGGACTGCCATGAGAATATAAAATAAATTGCAAACCAGGCATGATAGGGTGGATCTCATTAAAACTGAGCAATTTAGAGGATGCTGATCGTGACAATTTCTTCAAAAGGTCAGCTGTAACACAAACAAGGAGCAACGGTTTCAAGCTCGACAAGCCTCTGTGTAGGACAAAACAGGAGATGCCTTTTCACCCAGTGTTATAAACCCATGGAACTGCCTACCCTCCAATGCCATAAACACCAAAACACTGAATTTGACAAGCCACTGACTTCCTGTTTTTAGTCTACTAGTGTTTTAGTGGCCCATGGGTAAACTGTGGTAAATGTCCTAAAGACCCAAGGTTATTCTATCCTCCAGACTGACATATTCACTCAACCCCTCGTCGTTTTTCAGTATCACTTTGGTGGTAGGATCCTTTCATCTTCCATAGCTCATTCAGGAATACATCCCCTCTCCATGTCTGCAATAGGTGCTGAAAATGTGGAAATGGTTCCTCGAGGTGTAGTAGTGAGACGTCCCTCTACCGCTTGTGTGGTGACCCTGGCTATTCTAGAACAGATTATTTTTCCAAAGTTCATTGCATAAACTGCAGTGCGGCCCACCCTGCTTTCTGCACGTGCATGAACTTAAGTCATCCTCAACTTAAAACATCGCGATCGTATATCCTTCCCCGAGGCTAGATACTAAGTCCGCTGTCTACTCTGACATGACTTACGTTAAGTCTTATTTGCATCACTTCTCCACCTCCTCACTCTTTTGTATCTATTGTGACCTTCAACTTTCGACCACATCTTCCTTCTCAGCCCTCCTCTTTGTCTTTTTGTTTCTTCCTGACAAATGTCCATCCAAGCCAATATTAATCTTCCTGCTGTCTTCATTTTGCCTGCTCTCGTTCTCTCTCCCCACCTGAGACTATGGAGACTGTCGCACAGTGCATTGCTACTGGCATGTAACAAAAACAATGCTGTTTCCCTCTCCCACTTCCTCCCCAGTGGGCAAAAAAGCTTCATTCTGTCTGTCTGTCTTAGTTCCTGCATCTCCCATCTTGGTAGCAGTCAGCTGACCTCAATACAGAGGTTCCTAAAGCTCATGTTGGTACGTCTGGTGCTGTTTCGGATACATCACATACTGCCGTTTCTCAATTTACCTGAATTTACCTCAGGGCCAATGTTTCTCTAGTGGCCTCGACGAGGACAAGAAGCTGGCAGCCTGGTACCACCTTCTCTGACTTTTTCAACAGTATGAAGGTGTTCCCCAAGGCAGTGTTGCGGATACAGTACTACAATTTTTTTTCCCGGTTGCTCTAAGTGGTCTTCCTCACTTTCCTCTGGCAATTTTTAAACCCTTCATGTTGAGTGCTCTCTGCTTCCATGGAGACGACTCCTCTCTGCTCCAACACCAGCTCCAACTTGTGATTGATAACGTGTTGTCCTGGACCACCAATCATGGCATCATGTTCTCTGTGCTATGACTTTTACTCGAAACCATGTCATTCCTTGCCGCCCATTATCAATTTGGTAATCCCCTTCTATATAAAGATACTGCATGGCCGGAAGTCTGGTACTTGTTCGAAAATCCGGTGCATGACCGGAAGAATGGTGGCTGAAGCATAATGTAGAAGTGTCATTGGGTACCGTAGATGGGCCTCGTGGATAATGTCAAGAGGTAAACAGATTTGAGAAGGTCGGCAGGATGACCAGGACGCTTTGGTTCTGGGACAGACAACTTAGTGATGGAAATAATACAAGGAAATGACTGCTCTTGACAGACTTTACCTCTCATTGAGCAGCGTACTCTCATGAGTTGCCTCAACGTACAAGATACAAAGTGCTAACTTACCCAGAAACGCACGAACCCAAGCCACCCACCTAACCTAACCAATTGATGGATAGAAAACGTGGATATTCATGAGCCACTACCTATCTTAAAATACCGAACAATTTGGAGGATATTGATCCGGACTACTTCTTAAACGGTCGTATATAACACAAACATTCGAACAAGAGGATACAGTGGGAAACTAAATGTTCCACAGACTCATTAGAATTTTTTTCCATTGTACAAATGAACGATTGTAATGCATAAAGAAGTTAGGATGTACATATGGCAGAGCCAAATAATCTCAGAAACCTATACATAAGATGGGACGAAAGAGTCGAGGCTTTACCTTCCGCAATCACAATTAGGTGAGTACTAGTCTCTTACTAGTAACACCTTTACTATTCTATTATAGTCTGTGATACTACTACTAGCATCATTACTATTATACTACTACTAGGACTATTACCGTCATACTACTACTATCACCATAACTATTATACTACTACTACTAGCACCATTACTATTATACTACTCAACTAACACCATCACTAATATACTACTACTAGCACCATTACTAATATACTACTACTAGCACCATTACTATTATACTACTACTACTAGCACCATTACTGTCAAGCGTTATATGACAAAGAGTGCAGGGAAGACGGGACACCACGAGCGTAGCTCTCATCCTGTAACTACATTTAGGTAATTAATTACTACTATTAGCACCATTACTGTCCAACTGGTCTATCCTGCATAATACTCGCACCACTACTATCCTATTGTTCCTAGAATTTATTCCATTTTGTCCATGGATATGATTTCGTCCAACCATTTTAATTGTGATTAAATTCAGCCTATTATTATTTGACTGCAAATAAGATAAGACCT